GAGGAGTTTCTTGTCCAAGCTTTTTTAAACGTGCTGAATTATATGAAAGTAACATTTTTCAGATTTCATTTTTAAGAAATCATAGACATATTTGAAATTCTTCTTGAAAACCTCTAATCAGCATCCCCTGCACTGCTTGAACTATGCATCTTGGGTAGGAACAGCTATCCCCCAGTATGGTCCCACCCACATACCCTCACCATACTTGGTAAGCAAATAGGCTATATAAGGAGAGTGAATTTGAAATTTGCCAGAATCGAACCTAGTACCTTGCAATTAGAAGTCTGTCACCATAACTAGTAAACCACAGCTCCACTCCATTATGATAAGTATGGTTCTTAATTATTCACCTTACCTAATCTTTGAAATCTTATTTGTAAATTGTCATCTGATGCCACTATTCTTTAGCAGACTGTTTTGCCAATGTTTGTATTTCTCCATTATTAAACCGATAATTGCCAGATGAATATTAGTTTATGCGTTGTGGTCATCAAGTCTTGCCTTAAACAAGTTCTCAATTACTGGGCTATTAAAGACTAGATAGGAATCATGTATTTCAGGCCAGCTAGAATAGGGATTACACATTGACATTTTATATTATAATTCATTTTTTACTATACTCTTTCATGAAATTAACCATCATAACCTTTTGTAAAACTACCTTCTGTAGATGTACAATTTGTTTTAAAATGTAATCATATTTAATAAATTGAATGAATAAATGTTGATAAGTTAAAAACACAAAGTTAGTAATTTTGGTCAATTACATCTTGAAAATAAACAGATCTGATAATCTATCATTTTTATATCCAGTCATGAAATAATAATATCTGAGTATAAATTGACTTTAAAGTATATATTGACGATAATTTATTTAAAATAAAATAATATAATTAATTTTATAATAAATAAAATTATAAATAAATAATAAAATTAATTTAATAATAATTATGATAATAAAATTTATTTAATAAATAAAGTTTCGCACTTGAACAATTTTACAACACAGAACTCTATTGTCTACCAAGACAGACGGATGCCTTAGTATCATCGCAAATTTATAAGGTATGCAAGAATTGTTACTTCTACAAATTGAATAACATACATTTACATACCAGCATAAAGTGCAAACATTTCTGACAAAAAAACTAATTATATATACCAATATTTTTTTTTTTTTAATATTAAATATAATATTAATGAATACCATAATAAACAAAGTTTCAAATTGTTTCAGGGAATTATATATTTGGTAATGTTAAATAACCTATTGGATTATTTACAGATGAATTGTAAGGTATAATTTTAAGGGAAAAACCAAATTATATGTATTCAGTATATATATTACTGTGTAATGAATTCTGATATTGGAAATCTATTACACAACGCATATCATCACTGATTAATGGCAGTATCAAAAAACTGGGCTGCTTACTGATTATTAGAATTATTGTATTGTTGGCTAAATTGCATGGTAATTATTGTATTCGATGTACCACTGCAAAAATGAAATAATCATGTCTGCTAAATTGCTGTTGGATTGATGCCTACTGCTATACCTTCATCCTCCTTCTCATTTCATTTAGCTGTATTTAGCACCGATACATCTATTAAAAATAATGGATTTGTTTTTCCCCCTTTCATCAGAGGATTTTCAAGCCCTTGCAGATATAGTTCAAAGCTTATTTATCGTGACATTGACTTGGCATTGCGTCAAAGTGCCGTAAATGTCCAAGTACGCGTCTACAATGCTTTATATTGTATTTGCGGGTTTCAGTGGGGTGCTTGTAAAAGAGGGAAGCAATTTAATCACATTTTTAATTCATTACAAATCTATCAAGTTGTATAGCTTTTTACAGTGTTAGTTTAACTCTGAGACAGTGGTTATTATATAGTGTTCCAATGCAGTGGTGGCTCCATAAAATTGTCGACTGGCGGTCCGATCCAAGGGGCTATATAGAGCCTCGATTCCGGGTCCCGGAATAAAAATTTGTAGTCAGGGTCATGAGGAGAGTTTTTATGGCCTAGTGTGGCTGTAAAATTGTGCTTTTAGCTCCACAATATTAAGGATTGGCAATCAAGATAATGTTATTTATTAAGGGCAAATTCATATTTTTTGTCTTTTATATATTAAAATTGTTCATTTGTTTATATCATTCAATAAATTATTTTTATTTCATTTTTTTACAAATTTAAAAAAATATTTCACGACAGACTCATATTTTTACATTTTCGTAGAGTCACCTTCAAGTTGATTTTTCTGTAATTATGCTTGATTAACCCGTGCAGTGATTTAAATAGAAATGATGTAGTATGTATTAGCTAAGGTTCTCTTAAACCTATATCTATAATAACAATATATTAATCTACCTAATCAAATTTGCTCTCAATGGGATTAAGATAACTGATTCCAGATGGTGTTAAATTAAACTTGGATTTAATATCTTCAGTATTAATTATTGTGGTTTAATATGCTTAACATTGTAAAACAGAGGATTAAAGGAATATGATATTCAGATTGTTAGAATATATTAATATTTTTTTGTTACTGTATGTATACTTATTGTTGTATCGAATGACTAAATTCGAAAATTAATATAATTTTGTGTGTTTCATGGAAGCGTGCCTGGATGAGTTGGTAAATTATTCCAGTTGGCTTTTAGCGGTTGATCTAGGTTAAGTGTCGCTATCACAGCTGGCTACCATACCGGCAATCGTTATTGATTTGTGTAATTTTAAAGTCCATGCATTGTTGATATGGGAGCAATCGGCACATTGGCTGCAGCAATTTCATGTCAGGGTTTCAAAGCTTCGCTGTGTACGTCACTTGAATCATTGGGCAGTGGTGATTCCAGTAGGGGGTCAGGGAGGGAAATTGCACCCCAGGCCTGGACCCCCGTCGTACAGCACCACAACAAAGTCATCAGACCAAAAATATTAATTTGCCTATCAAAAATAATGTAATTTTGATTGCCAATTACTATATTGTGGTCTAAAAGCATAAGATTAGGCCAGAATAAGCCATAAAAACTCTTCCTATAATGGAATGTGCCCATCATACACAGCCTGCCTAATTGTTTGGTATTCATGGCACAGGCAGCTAGTGAATGCAGGGGTCCGAAGTTGGCAAAAAACTTTTCCGGTAGACGTAATTGAAATGAGCTTTCCAGTTTTATTTTGCAGCATGTGGTGACTTTAGCTGACAACACAGTAGTGTAGTAGTAAAAACATGCAAATATCATGGATTTGAAGAAAATTTCTGGGGTTTTTCACAAGAGAAGCAGAAGGCTGATAGACTCATGTAACCCACAAATCATATTTTTATATATTGAGCCTCATTAACTTTCCCACTGATTAAGATATGCTGTCTGCATTAACCTATAATCAATAAAATTTATTACTTGCTTTACAGTACTTTGTATTTTTATAATTAGAATGAGAAAATATTTTCCTCGCTAATTAACAAATGCATATATCCATTCCTATTTTTTTTTTGCATTGATCCTTTAATTGTAAATCAGTCAAACTAAATTGTCATGATTTGTCGTCTTGTTGGAAGTGATGAAATTATTTGACTTTTTAAATGAGCAATCAATTCTTTAATTGAAATCTTGAAGGTCACTTTAAAAACTCTTACATAGTGAAGTTGGATGTTGAAATTCGTAGTCCTATTACCATTCCTAGTACCTCCTGAATATTTACTATCTCTATTTCCAAACTATAATTATGAAATTTTTCTAGTGTCTCCTTTGTTGCACCTACAGTATAACCGTTTATTTGAAATCTTGCATTTCCCTGTTAAAGATAAATTTTTAAAAACTTTTTATTTCTATTCCTAGTACCCCTGATCATTATTAGGGTTCTATTACAATTATCAATATTTTCACAAGTGTACCAACAGTACTCTTTTTCGGTACCCCCTCTCTCCCCTCTGAAAGTGTACATAAAAAATGTTGATTTTGCAAAACCATTCTCCATTTTTTGTGAAGACAACTAAGGCTACGTTCAGACTTGCAGATAAGCCCGGCTCAACGTCAAGCCCGGCTTAACTTTGCCGGGCGTTCAGACTTGCGGGATTAGCCAGGCACGAGAATTTGCATAATGAACCGTAACTAGGAAACGTGTTTCAAAACAAATGTACGCTCGCTCACAGCGTACGTAATTGAATGCTGATTGGTCATTTTGTTACCCTAAGTCAATGCAAGACCTCCCCCGCAACGATTAAAGCCCGGCTTAGGAAAGTTAAACACGGTGGCAGGCCACGCCTAGTTACTATAGGAACACAGCCCGGCTTGAGATAAGCCACCTAGTTCCGACTGGCAGGTGGTTAAACCTGGTGAGTTTGAACTAGGCCTAAAGTATTGTACTACATATAAATGTATATGCAAGATTGCATTTTAATTGTTCATAAAAAAAACTATTATTTAAAATATTGCATGTTATTTTGTAACAATATTTTTACGCATGTAAAAGTGTACAAATTTTTCTACCCCCTTCCCCCCTAGAGTACTGTATGTACACTTGTGAACATTTTGATCATTGTGAATGACCCCATATATTGTTTATAAATTCAATTGTATATTTCAATTAATTAGATTTTCTTAGTCTCTTTTTAATAGCCTATATTTTATAATTATTGTGTTATAAACTAATGCATTATATGAATTAAGTATACATTTTCAATAAAATTAATTATTTATTTCATATTCATACATGTTTTATGTAGTATATTTAAGCTTTGCCACAGTATGGGTAATTGAAGTGATCATCAGGCAACATTTCATCCTCACACACATCATCATTAGTTTGGAATTAGAAAAGAAGGCACCTGAGCAGCAATTGCTATAATAAGAATACTCTGTCATATGATGGTCATTGTTTTACTCTGCCGACATTCAGAAAGTAATCATCTGTGACAACCAACAGAGTATGATGGATTCTACACAATGTATGACTAGATTTGATGTACTGTGAAAGAACGCTTGTAATTATTGTGGCTGTGTGATGTAGTAGTCTGCAATAGTTTTGGCTAGACCCTGGAAATAGGTGACAGGGATCCTTACTGTCACACAATCTTTTAATATATGTGTACAGATATTGATGATTGAAGTATTGAAGAAACCGATGAACAGTGGGGTAAACTCATGGTTGTGACAGATTTTCCGTTGAATGACTCGCAGCAGATATAGAAAAACAATCAGTGAATTCATGAGGATAGCAAAGGCAAAATGCTCATTTGTAAGAAATGTCAAATTTCTGGGAAGTTGAAATAGATTGAGTTCGTTAGAGATTTGGTAAAATCAAGATTCATTCACAGTCTGGGCATATCGCCAGTGGAATCAACCAGGATGCATCAAGACATTGAGAAAGGTGAATAAAAGTTGGAGGGATATGATGACAAAAGGTATATATTTGCTGATCAGAAAAAGCTCATATTGGTTGAACATATTTAGACCAGAAGTACTGTAGACTTGGTGTACATTAAAAAGAGAAGGTTTGAACGGAATGGAGATTTAATTGAAAGACTTATAAGCCTGGCACTTACTGCTCCCGACTTCCACCGACAATTCGCAGGAAGCAAAGTTGAATTCGCCAGCCGATGGTCTTATGACGCAATGTGTGTTCGTCTTTAAAGGTACTGTGGAAGGAGTATATGGATGATAGGGAGGCTGAAAATGGATGTACTGCAGTATTTTTTTTTTTGAACAGACCAAAGGACAGATGCTTAAACAACAATGTACAAGCTCAAAGCTGTAGTCAGAATTTATAATAGTGTATGCATATAATATGCAGCTGTTCTACAGTTTATGCACAAATCTGCGAAAACATATCATTTTATAGGTTTTCTACAATTCTAATGTTGAACAATGTTTTTATTATAGCTATTCATTACTTCTTCTTAAAATCAATTTCATGTTAATGTTTGAATCATCGATCTTACCCGTGTGAAGTATTTCAGACTCATTTTGGTCTATTATTTTTGTTATTGTTATTAATATTCATGTTGAAAGCTCTTTATTCAAATAGAAAGTTTTGATGAATTGGCGCTGCTTAATTCATGGGATATTACACACTGTTGACTGTGAATATGTTGGAACGGTGCGAGATTGACTTAAATGCATTGATTTACTGCCAACCGACGACGAGTAATAGCTTTTCCGTGAAGCAAGAAGAGTGGATTTGCCAGAAACAAATAAACTATGTGACTACAAATTGAGAATCATAGTGTCTGTACAGAAATCCAGTTTGTTAATTCAAATTGTGTGTTTAAAGTAGCGGTTTTCCGAACTTTGCAGTTGAACACTATAAATAAATATCCTGGCATTTAGCAACTTTCCGAAAGTTGGTCCAGGCAGATAATGCTGGCGGCCAGGGCTGGGGATCTGGTGGTGGAATCCCTCCTAGCTCTCAAAGATTGTGATATTTACAGGTTTTGGGTGAACCTTTTTTTTTTTCAAATAGTTGCTTTTAGGTTGTAAAAAGTATTCAGGTCACATCGTTTAAAAAAAAAAATCATCAAAATAAAAAAAAAATGTTATCAAATATTTGAAAAAGGTATTGGCAAAAGAGAATTTAAAACATTACTGTCTTAATTGTAAAGTCACGGACTCTCACAACGTTGTTTGACAGTCATACGGCCATTGACCGACGTAACCAACCCCGATCCCTGTGGGTGCTAGACGACATTGACTGCATCCGCAAATTGTCAGTGGCAACCTAAACGGATCGTCTTTAAAAACAATTTGTTGTGTGCTTTGTGGTGTTGCGTTCTCTATAGTTCTCTATATTACGTCAGCTGATGACCGTCAAGCGCAGTATTTACATCCCATCACCCAATTGTCTATGACATCATGACTAGGTTTTTTGTCATTGTATAAAAAATTTGCCTATCCAGATAACATTATTGTGATTGCCAAACCCTAGTATTGTGGTCTGAAAGCACACATTGGACCATGCTATAAAAACTCTCCCTGTGGACCCTATTAGGGATATTTTAATCCGAGCCGTCGATCTAGGCTCTAATCAGCTCCTTGGCTCAGATCCCTCTGTTGGAAATTTGGGACACTTTGTCGTCAAATTATTGGCGGCACTGCTGCTTAAACTGTCAAACTCATGATCTCAGTTCTGTTCTTCTGTAGATCAAAACATGAACTTGAAAACATTTTTTTTTTTGCATGCTTGCAATCTTTACCTTGGAATTTAGTGCATTTAGTATACAGAAAACTTTTAACATGTCATAGTAATATATTTCAAAATTGAACCTGATCTCCTCTAGAAATACCTTTAATGAATATTGCACATTTGGAAATGAACTTGATCAGCGATGAATTTGTTGACAACTGCACAACTGCTTGTGAGGAGTGCTTTCACTCAGTGAATTTCAGCACTTGGATGGATGTAAACCTATGATATGAAGAACAAAATTCCTAAAGAGACTATATGGGCAACCAAATATGGAGAATCTAGGTGGTCTTCAGGACTGGCACATCACAATTATGAAATACCGCCCTCTATAAAAAAATATAGTATTATAATTTTTGTTTGAGTAAAAAATTGTTGGCCCCTTTTGGGATTCGAGTCCAAGATCATTTGATTAACATTGGTTTGCTTGATGGGGCCAAGTGGGTGCACTGTCTTGGAATTTCTTCTGCCCTTTACAAAATTGTTTTCATTATTGCTGGTTATTTCTTACATGTACTCAGTTTTCTTATGTGGTTCATACATTTAAAATAGTTAATTGAAACAAGATTTGCAGGTGAATTTTTATTGGCTGGCCTTGCTTCAGTTTTACATCTATATAGATTTCCTTCAAAAGTAAATTATCTTGAAAATTATTTCCGTTTAGTTTTAGATCTTCTGCGTCTATTCTTTTGCAGGCGTAAATCCTTGTTCCACATCTGCTGTTCTCTCTTTAATCAAAGCATATACTTTTAAATCATATTTTTTTTAGTTGTTTGTTTCCTTTAGGACTGGCCTTTTTTTTTTTGGCGGCCTTTTTTTTTTGGCGCCCTTTGTAGCCTGATAAATGATTATCATGTGAGAGCTGTTAACGCAGCGATTACGATTCAGGGTCTCAACCTTAAGGTCAGACCTTTCGTTGTGTGGAGGCGGTTTGGCGCAGTGGGAAAAGTTTCCTCGAGGTCAGGGTTTCAATCCTTTTCTGTGTCTTTCACTTGTGTCCTTGAGCAAGGTACTTTATCTACATTGGTTCATTCTACCCAGCTGCATCAGTGGGTACCAGCAAATTGCTGGGAGTAACCTGCGAAGGACTAGCATCAGGGGCGGATCCAGAAGATGTCCAAAAAGGGGGGCCGAATTTTGAGGCGATCGAAATAACAATATCCTAGGGGGTCCGGGGGCATGCCCCCGCGAAATTTTTGTGTTCTAGACGCCCGAAAATAACATTTGAGGCATTGTGGGCTATCATTTTTTCTTTTTCTTTTTCTTTTTCTTTTTTTTTTAACCTCCCAAAAGGGGGGGGGGGCCGGGGCCGGGCCGCCGCCTCCCCTCCCCCCCTAAATCCGCCCCTGAGCATCCCACGTACCAGGAGGAGCATCACATTCTCATCTGCTTCACCACATTGCTTCAAACGGGGTGTTAGTTCCAGCCCTATGGGTCCTACCTATTCTCTCCAATCTGTTTCGCAGTGTTTCGTCATCGTTTAATCTAAACCAAGAAGTCTCAAACCTTATCGTCCTCATCTTGCTTATCGATGACTTCGTCGTTCTCCTCATCGACGTTAATGTCGCGTTTCGGTTCTTTCGACATGCTTTCTTTTTTTTTTTTTTTTTTTTTTTTTTTTCTTTTTCTTTTTCTTTTTTTTTTCCCCCCCCAAAGGGGGGGGGGGGCCGGGGCCGGGCCGCCGCCTCCCCTCCCCCCCTAAATCCGCCCCTGAGCATCCCACGTACCAGGAGGAGCATCATATTCTCATCTGCTTCACCACATTGCTTCAAACGGGGTGTTAGTTCTAGCCCTATGGGTCCTTTAATGGCTCGGCAAGGATTTACTCTTACTTTTTAGCAGTGTGTCTAGTTCGTGTCATAGGCAAGGAACTTTACTTTTTTACATTTGTCTCGCTCTCCCTCTTTCCCAACCTAGGAGTTTAAAGGGTGTCTAGTAGCATGCTGTGGCATTGAATATATTTAGTCTGTGTGTAATGTTTCTTGGCAAAAGGCATAGAATAAAATTATGTTATTGTTTATTATTTATTTGGATAACTGTTGGCCTAACAATCCTCCTCTTTGAAACAATTTTAAAAATGTGATCTTTCCTGTCGGTGATTGGCTGTTGTACAGCCCACAACCTCATTTACTGTATGTCTTAACATCATCACTGACCTATTAAAATTCAACTGAATTTATGGTACACATAATTATATTGCCTTAAAGTTATTTTCTTATGAATCACCTTCCTTATGAAAATTTTATGTATCTCATTTTCGTCTTTATTTTTATCGTTGACATTTTTCGAGCAAGGTTTGATATTACTTTTTTGTCATTTTAAAGATGTCTTCATGTTTTTTTTTTTTTCTTTAACATATTCTTTAAAATGTCAAACAATGCATTTAGTTGGTAACTGCAATTTGAGTACTTTAAATAAATTAAAAGAACAGATAGGACAAATTAGTTTTCCTTTTGGGGGATAATTACACATGGTTGACTGTGAAAATTGAGGAACATTTGATGTAGCTAGGTATTCACTGTCTAAGAAAGACTCCTGAGTGTAGCTTAGATATTCCTACTTCTCAGATATTTAAATAATAATATTTTATTTCATTTATATAATTCAAGGAACAATTGAACATAAAAAATATTATGATAGAAAGAAAAGACTAGCTCATTTGCCAGAAAAGATTTGCTGAAAAATGAATTAGATAATATCATATAATAATATTATTTGAAAGTGTGTGCTAAACCCTCCATCTTTGAAAGATTCTACCAGGGTCCCCTCTAACTCAAATGGATCCACCCTGCACTGTGTCAGTATACTACCATTGGCTTCGCTTTTGAGCAATCCGTACAGGAGGCATACAGTTATGTTTTTGTTTTTACTGTATTATCTGGTGAAAAAAATGATACAATATGATGTATATACAGTTTAGTTGTCACTTGTAAATTTATCATACAAAACAAAAACTTAATCACTATATATACTACTTTACCTAAACCTATGAATTTAACACAGTGACACATGGGGAGCTCATGAGAGTGCAGGGGGGGGGGGTGTCTTGATGAATACATGAGGTGGTGTCAACCTAAGGTGATATGATTTTTTTTTCTTAGTAAATTTCCAGTGGGAGCACATGAATGGTGTGCTTCCCCCATTTTCTGTGTTGGTATTTGCCAACAGAAGCTTGGGAATAGAAGTCTAAATATTAGTTCAGTGCCTTTCGTATTTTCGTGCATGATTATAACATGCACTCACATCAGAAAAACAAATTTATAAACATATGTTATAATGTTTTCCTTTACATTTCTGATTATGCTTACCTCAGTTGATGTGATTTGCTTCAGTTTTAGGTGCAAATTATCTTTGAGTATAAAGAATATTCGTGTTGAGAGTATAACATGTCTGATAGATGAGCTTAGGTTTAGCTGAGTCCTGTGAACTCTTCACCTTGTAAAGTGATTACCTCATCATTCCCCTGAAGTTCCTAGGTAAACTAAATGTTATTACATGCATTAATGCTGTATATCATTGGTTTGCAAAAATGTACGAGAGGAGCATGAAACTTATGAAGAGTTTTATTTTTGTAATAAAAATTATTTAAAGATTTTGTATTATTGTAATTATATTTCCACATATTTTCTGTATTTTTGTAAAAATTTTAAATGATGTACACTCAAACTTAATTGGTTTAAATAAATTGAATTGGTATATTCAAGTAATAAAATGTCCTGTAATTAATAAATGTATATAATATCAGTAATATAATTAATCTTTTGTAACTCTGTAAATTTAAAACAATATATTTTTGTAAGTAATTAAATGTCCTTTATTTAATAATTGCCTATAGTATCAATAATATAATTAATCTTCTGTGTATTCTGCAATTAAACTTTGTAAATTTAAAATAATATATTGTTGTATAATAAGTAAAATATGTAATAGCTATTTTTTTAGTTATCTTCAGGTTTTTGTATAAATTTAAAATTTTGTACATTTAAAATTTGTACACTTAGAAATTGTTATATTCTTACTTTTGTTGTCTATTGCTTGATTATTATATCATCTATATTTCTATTTCTTGTTTTTGTTGGGGACCCCTTCTGAAACACGCCCACCTGCTTAGAGGGTTTTACTCTGTTATTCATTTTGTCAATGTTTTGTTTTATGTTTTGTAATGTATAAATTGATTCTGTGTTTTTGGAATGGATAAAAATAAATATTATACTATAAGATTGAGAGAGTATAGAATTGTTGAGGGCAGTGGTGTATTTAGTGGGTGCATGGGTGTCCCAAAAAGCTTGCCTTCCACAATTCCCCCACCCCACTGAAAAGGTTGCAAAAAAAAAATCACTCAAGTAGTTAAAAATCACCTAATATCACCATATTTTGTTAGCTAGCTCCCCCCTCACTTAATCATTGAGCCACCATAATAAGCCCACACCTGATTTCAAGACTCCAATATACACACCATAGGGTGAGGGTGATGGTTAAAAGACAGAAAGAAGTGTAATTTTAATTATGAGTTGCAGTTACAGACTTAATACCTGCACTGGCCAATCTAAGGGTAATAGTTTGTGCTCATCCTCCCCAGGAAGGTAACCTACAACAAATTCAAGAATCTAGAGAACTTTATTTTCCCATTTTAAAACAGGAAATAATATGCTTGAGAAAAAAAAATACAACAGCAACATCACTTTCTATTCAATTTTACTTGTTGTGTCTCTCCTATACCACCCCACCCAAAAAAATAAAAATCAGCTTCCCCATGTATTAGATACATCAACTGGCTTTAACCCAAGCAATAAATTTCTGTATTTTAATTGCTTAATTTCCAATTAAAAAGTGGAACCAGAAATTCTTCCTTGTCAATTAACTGATGCATCATGATTATGCTAGGAAGGTACAGACTTGCTGTGTGGAGGAGTGCAAATCCTCTCATAACAAAGTTACAGTCTGGCCCCAAATGCTTACAAAAAGTGACATGCGCACTCCTACCTACTGTATACAATTCGCTTATACACATCTAGATGTGTATAAGAGACAGACTTTACCTAAACCTATGAATTTAACACAGTGACACATGGGGAGCTCATGAGAGTGCAGGGGGGGGGGTGTCTTGATGAATACCTGTCTCTTATAC